TTCAGCTTGTATGTATTAAATTTTGAGCACACACTAAGTGAGAGATTAAAGGAATACCTAAAATGCAGAATCACAATGAGAATGCCAATAAAGGCTAGATGATAAATGTAAGAAACTCAGCAGCGCAGATCCAACAGAATCAACACACAACAACCACAAATTTGAGCTTTGACAGCTTGTAGAAATCCAAGAAGAAAAGAAATTGAGCTTTGAAATCAATTCTTTTCAAATCTCCATTAAAAATTCCAGTTTTTCTTTCTGTTTTTTTAGCTTTTGATTTTCATATATGGGTTTTGGTATTTTCTAGTTTCTACTAGATGGCCTAGGTGTGTGTGAGAATGAGGAGTGAATGAGAGCGGAAAAGATGAATCTCTTATCTGAGTGGTAAGAGATATATATTATGTACGAGGGATCATATGAGAGAGTGAGAATTGTGTGTATGAGGGTGGGTGCAGATGAGAGAGTGAAGGACAGGGGGCAGCTAGGGTTTGGTCATTTAGAGAGGGGGTCCGTTGTTCTTGGATTGGAGGGGATTGAGGTTGTTTTAGTGAGTGGGGAAGGGATAACGACGTTGTTCCTGGGATGAACGGCGTCGTTTGGGAGCTGAGCTAGGCGGGTCGGGTAGACAGGGGTTGGCTGGGGCGGATTTGGCAAAGACTGGGCCTAAGTGTTGGCCCAGTTCCGATTTTGAGCTCAAACAAACCTTCTCCTTTCTCTTTTCTTTTTCCATTTTAGCCACTAATTAACTAATATAATATTGAAAACTTGAATTACACAATTAACCTATTACATGAATTATCTAACAATTAAACTAATTAATTTGTGGATTAACCAACTTAATTAATTTGAACCTAAAATGCAAAACAAACTAAAGTATTTTTGTATTTTAATCATGTATTTATGCCCTTAAAACTACGAATAAAAATCTAAAAATGCAAAGATAAATAATAAAATATCTTTGATGGTTTTAAAATATTCCTAATGATGCAAATGATCTATTAATAAAATAAAATGCAATCAAGCACACAAATAAAATTCCTATAATATTTGTGTAAACAATTCATAAACAAACCCTAGCCGCCGAAAAATGCTCTCTACATAGGCGACAAACAAGAACAGTAACTAAACAGACAAAAATGGTAGCGTCTCCTTCGTCCGGTGGTGAAAAGCCACCAGACCAAACCCAACAAATGCGTAACAACACTGCGCACAAACCCAGGTAGGCACATCATTTTTTTCCCATCTGCTGAAGAAATCAACAATGGCGGAAATGGATGCTCACCAAAAAATCACCATGAGATAGCAAATATACACTGCAATGTCACTGCGTCAAAACAACTTATTGAAAGCCATGGAGATTACTCAACACATCATTTACAATCAACCCACAAAGTCTCAGACCACATCACAACAGGAAACTTCGATTCAGAACAGGGGAACAATGACGACAAACAGTGGCTGGTCTCGAATGGAGCTACAGATGACCAAGTTTGTCAAAACCAATGCCAATCCGCTACAATTGATCTGGATATTGATCCCAACCCCTCAAACAACAACTACGATGAGCAATTCGTTACAAAATGGCAGAACCCAGTATGCGCAGAATCTCATATGCCATCTGTTCGATGAAATGCCAAGGTCAGTTTTGATGTCAATTTTAATGAATAGATGAATGGTTGTGCTTCATAAAGTCATATTGAGCTTAGTCGTCATGACAATTCAATAGAACAAATACAAAAAGAGGTTGACAAAAAATCGACACCTACAGCAGCAACCACATTGCTAGCACATGTTGCCCCTGCTAATACTAATGTGCAAGCTGTGATTGAATTGGATAGAAAAGATTCAATGCCAGTTGGTGGAATTCATCGGAATGTTCAATTTCAATTGCATGTTGATAACCTTTCTGCGCGACTAAATATTGCCCCTAATGCTGTGATGTTAAATGACTGTAATGTTCCTGCCCATTCAATTGGACAAGGATCATTTGAGCAGTCTCCTGATAAGAAAGACAAAGCTGTCAAATCAACTCCTACTGATCAGGTATATCCAACCCCTTCTTCAACAACATTAATTCATTCACGTAATGTCTCTGCAGCTCATCTGACCAAAGAAAACCAGTCTTTAACGGCAAATAGAGCTACCGAAGCACACCCTCAACTTGCTCAAATAACACCTCCATCAACCTTTCCTAAAATATCTACTAACTTTGACAAACTTCCATCTACTCAAAACCAAATGTTAGCTACAAGCCAGCACCAGAACACCAGCAAACCTAGCTTAAAGCCAAAAGAAACTACCCTTCAAGACAAACCACAAAATCAAGTAATCTCTTCAACACCTGAATACACAAACTCAAAGAACTCATCCAACTCAACTCAACTAAAAAACCCTAACACCTATAAACTACCAGCAGCTTTTAACCAAAATACCCAACCTCACCATATTATAATAGATTCCCATCCCAAGCTTATAGCTACGACTGCCCAGCAAAATAAAACTAGTAACTACCCTGCTCCTCCACCACCTACTATCACTCAATCTCTAGCTACAAAGTTAAAAGCTAGGCAAGTTTCAGAGATAACACCAATAGAGTTCACACCTCCCAGAATCACTACCAAACAGGGCCAACCAGTTGTTATTTTTACCAGGACACTTTATATGGTCACATTGGCTAACAGATGCCAATACACAACTGTGGGAAAATTCCTTAACATGATGCCTAGAATGAAAAAAATTAGGAGAAGCTTCATAGCACAAACAGAACTCAGAGGAGGAGTTAAAACAGCTCATTTCAATGCAAGAATAGTCTACATTGACTTAGACAATGAGTATGATAACACTACTGTTTGAACAAAATCATTCATGTTCATCCAAGGTCAAAGAATGGAATTACAAACTTGGACACCCAATTTCAATCCAAATGAGGATAATCCTATTATCCCTGTTTGGATAGCCATTCCAGAACTTCCATGGCATTTCTACTATAGGGAAGTACTATCATTACCTTTATCACCTATTGGTAAGGTACTCCATCTAGACTAGCTTCAATGCAAAAAACAAGGGGAAGTATTGCAAAAGTCAAGATGTAGGTGGATTTGACTAAGGAAAGGCCTCATCATGTTTGGCTGGGATTTGATGAAGATCAGGATGTGAATGGGGATGGACAGTGGCTGGAAGTAGTATATGAAGATCTACCATATTGCTGCTTACACTACAGACACTTGGGTCATGAAGAGTACAACTGCACTATCAGAAAAATGGAAGAACAAGAGAAGAAGAAAGCAGCAGCAACAACAACAACAACTCACACTGTTAATAATTACCTTACAAACAAGCTAGAGGGAACAACTGCAACAACACATGAGCAAATGGTTTAGGGATAACAAATGATCAGACTTCCAACCAAAAAATTAAGGAACAATGCAAAACTGAGGAGCAACACGGAAGAATAAATCACAAAGTAACTACGCAACAACCAAAAAAAGATAACCATTCCAACGATCAATGGAATCTCAAAAAATGAAGAATTTTAAGGGAATCAACCAGAAAAACAAGCAACAGAAATAGAAACAACCACAACAACAAGCTCTTGAGACACAATTATCTAGACCCTCCTGGCCCTCAGGTGTAATGAACAAATCACAATGTGCTCCACCAAAGCAACTGGAGACTGTACCAGAGGTCATTCAGAATACTGTTGATAGTGCTGATGCTTGTAGTAGAAGACAGATTAGTTCACATGAACCACCTAATGAGATAGGTCACTTTACTGGAATAACAGCTCCTCAGACAGTTCATGAGTCTGCTCAGGTAGGCGGTAACACTAGCATGGTAAACCTACTATCCACTGCTTCAAATCAGGCAAGCACACAGAAAAATAGGGATGCTGGAATTGTCAATAATGTGACTTCTGAATCTGATAGTGAGGGCAGGGACAAGTTCAAAAAAAAACAACAGAAGCATCAAATTTTGGAATATCCAGATAACCAACATATAAGAACTGCTGAAAAATCAAATTCCAATTCTAAAGATGCAGAGCTGACCATAAACTCTATCTCTACTAATACTAGGCAAAATACTTCAGGGACAAAAGCAAATACCATTGACTGGGTTCAAAGGATCTTTGTAATGCATAAGGAAATACTTAATGTGACCCTCAACCACTCATGTCAGGAAATACCATCTCAGCCATTTGTGGACTCACCTAACTCAAATGGAAAAACTACAGGCTCTATACAACTGGAGAGAGGTGAAGTAAGTTTAGAGGCACATACAAGACTAAGACTTGATGATCAAAGAGTTAATTCAATGCCAGCACAAGTTAATGCAGAGGTATCCAGGAAAGCTTTGGATAACAACAAAACTGGGGAACTAGTAGCCAATGTTGAAGGTGCAATGGTAATATTACCAGACAGGGAGCAGGTCAGTAATGCTGATGCAATTACAGATCACCAGATACTTAGGTTATTTTCTCAAAATGTATATGGGAAGGATCCAACAATTGTGTATGAGCAGATAGGGTCAGCCATGATTCCTAGGGAGTCAGCAACAATTGATACACTACCTATGGTAATTGCATCAACCACTGGATCTCCAATGTAGATTCAAATCAATATAGCACTACAATCTCCTGCTCAGATTATGCATGGCATTATTGCACACAAGGAACTTCCTTTCGAAATTCATAAAGCCTTGGGCACTAATGAACAACAAGAAGATAAAGGTGCTGATGATTCTATAGCTGGGAATTTCAAGTATGTGGCAAGGGAATGAGATTTGTCATCTATAACTGCAGCTAAACATGGTAAGAAAGGAAGGAAGCAAACTCATCACAAGGAAAAATAACCTCCAACAAGAATATTGCCCAAGAGAGCAGCCTCCACTACTAGATGATGATTAAGACACTCATATGGAACATAACGTCTGTTAAAACTCAGCAGGCCTTTCAGAGAGTTATCAACATGAAAAGGGAACATAGTTCTTTCATTATAGTGCTCATGGAGCCTTTCCAAAAGCAGAGGCTTATTCAGAACTATTGGAGGAGACTGGGCATGGAAGCAGCAATATCTAACATCAATGGCAAGATATGGCTATTTCTTGATGTTGTGGTCCAGTGGGATGTGGTGATTGACACTGACCAACAACTTACTATCATGGTTTATCATCAAGATATTGAGAAGCACATCATGATGACCTTTGTATATGCAAAATGTTTATCCATGGAAAGATTAGAATTGTGGGATAATCCACACTACCTTGCTAGAGACATGGAATTACCTTGGGTGGTTGGAGGGGACTTTAATGTGATTCTTAATGAAGAAGAGAAGATTGGTGGACTGCCAGTTTACCCTCCAAAATATGAAGATTTTGCCTTTTTTGTAAACTCCTGTGGTCTATTTGACATGGGGTACAAAGGAAGTCCATTCACATGGTGGAATGGGAAACCAAACTCAGAATGCATATTCAAAAGGTTGGATAGAAGTTTTGTTAATGTGCCATTCTAGACTTTATTCCCTAGTACAGAAGTGGAACACCACATCAGAACAGGTTTTGACCATGCACCACTACTGATGAGTAGTGGTAAGCAGACCACTCAAATTGCCAAACCTTTCAAATTTCTGAATTTCTAGACAAAACATGCCTCTTTTATGGAGGTAGTTAGACAGAATTGGCTGGCTGATATCACAGGTGACCCCTTATTGATGTTCAAACATAAACTAAAAAGAGTTAAGATTGCTCTTTCAAAATGGAGCAAGCTCACTTATGAGGATATCTTTAAACAAATAGCTTTAAGAGAAGATGTGGCCAGAGTAAAGGAAATGCTATTTGAAGAAGAACCAACAGTAGAGAATAGAATTGTACTTCAGAAAGCACAATCTGAGTTAAAGAGATATCTGATCATAGATGAGCAGTATTGGAAAGAAAAAGCAGCAATGTCCTGGTTTGTAGAAGGAGACAGAAATACTAGATTTTCCCACAAACATGTCAATGGTAAAAGGCAAAAGCTCCAACTGAAGAGAATCCAGAATCATGATGGTATTTGGATTGAGTCACAAGATCAGTTGGCTGATGCAGCAGTAGAATTTTACCAGAAGCAGTTTACACAAGAAGATGACTCTACATGCTCTAAGCTTCTAAACAATGTACCTCCAATGGTGTCTAGTGATCAGAACATAGAGCTTTGTAGAATTTCTACAATTGAGGAGGTAAAGGCAATAATATTTGCATTGAGTGGTGAGAGTGCAGGTGGTCCAGATGGTTTCACAGGCATTTTCTTTCAAGAAAGTTGGGATATAATAGGGGAAGAATACATGAGATGCTGAAACTGTTTTGTGGAGGAAGTCCTTTGCCTAAGTCTATAACGCACACAAACCTTGTCTTGCTGCCAAAAACAGTACAAGTTCAAACATTCACTAATCTCAGACATATAAGCGTAAGCAATTTTATAAATAAAGTGATATCTAGAGTAGTTCATGATAGGCTGGAAAAGATACTGCCTTCTGTGATCTCTTCCAACCAGTCAGGATTTGTCAAGGGAAGAAGTATATTTGAAAACATCTTATTAACTCAGGAGATTGTTACTGACATAAGGTTGAGGGGAAAACCTGCCAATGTAGTTATCAAACTTCACATGGCAAAGACATACGGTAGGGTCTCCTGGAAGTATTTAATGCATGTTTTGAGGAAAATGGGATTTGCAGAATGCTTCATCAACATGGTGTGGAATCTACTATTCAACAACTAGTATTTTGTTCTAATCAATGGTCAAGCTTCAGGTTTCTTTCACTCAATAAGAGGTGTTAAGCAAGGTGATCCTCTCTCCCCAGACCTGTTCATACTCTCTGCAGAGGTACTGTCTAGGTCTTTAAATAAGCTATTTGAATACCATAGATTCAAGGGCTTTGGCATGCCCAAATGGACTGATCCATTGAATTATTTAGCCTACGCAGATGACACTATAATCTTTGCTTCAGCTGATCCATACTCTTTAGAGAAGATTATAGAAGTCTTGTACAAGTACGAGCACACTTCTAGCCAAATAATCAACAATACAAAGAGTTCCTTTTATATACACTCTACTGTGTCTGCAAGTGTTACACCCCATATTTTCGTACGTAAAATTATGCCATAAGTAAATTGATAAAAGCTCAGAAATGAGATATTACATCTCACATGTTCGTACGTAATAACTTCGTCATAAGTTAATCGACGTAGACTCGGGGATGAGATTATTTTTGAGGTTATACACATTTATTCTACTTATAACACGCGATAAGTAAAGTGCCGTGAAGTTTAAAGGGTTAATGAAACAAAGATAATGAGTTTCGTTGAAAATTGTCGATTTGGAAAAAAAAATTGCCCGAGCTATAATATCCGGTATTTATGGATTAGTGCCATACAAGGTACTATGTGACCATGATAGTAAGATGTATAAGGTATGTTAAATGTGAGTAGTATTTTAAGTAATCTGAGATAATTCCAAATTATGTGGATAATTGGGCAATTATTGGTTAGTGGGAGATTAATAAATTATCAATAATTTGGATAACTTTAAGAGGGAAAAATGTGGTTGCCCCTCCCTTAATATTTAGATGACTCTTAAAGTCATACTATTATGTGGCAAAGTCTAAAACGTGAGTCACACATCCACTTTCAAGAAAAGAGTTACAAGTCCATTCTTAATACATTCATTTTTAAGAAAGCGATACATATCTTTCTAACCTATTAGAGAGTCTCAGCCAAGAACGTTACTATACAAATCACTTTCTAAGAACATAGCAATGTTAATTTATTTTCCAAATAGCAACATTGTTGCTAAGTTCTTAAGGAAAAGTTTCGGCCAAAATTTTCTTTGCATAGCAACGTGATTGCTTCGAGCTTTTCATACGATTTGCTCCGTGTTTTGTCGCAATTAATGTATGTTTGAGGATTGTCAAGAGAATCGACTCAAGTATGTTAAGGATATCCCTTATTTATTTTTCGCATGATCTATACGACACAAACGAAACGAGCAAATGCACAACTTCCATAAATTACTCTATTCGTNCGGCCGAAATGATATAATGGGATACCCTCAGAGGCTTGATGATGTTATGAACGCATATACCAATGTATGGTATGACATTTATATGCATCTGCATGACATTATAAAAATGAAATGATTCACAGAGCTATGCAAACGTACATGTCGAGTCTGTTACTCCATGTTTCTCTCATGTCTATTATTTACTGATTTTTATTCCTTACATACTCAGTACATTATCTGTACTGACATTCCTTTTGCCTGGGGACGCTGCGTTTCATGCCCGCAGGTCTCGATAGACAGGTCGAGAGTCCTCCAAGTAGGCGATCAGCT